TTGTTGTCCTCAAAGGAGTGTGTTTTGTCCTTGAGGTGTATGTGAACAGCTGAGTCCTGTCCTGAGGAGATGGCTCTCCTGTGTTCGGCCATGCGCCTGTGTAGCGGTTGTTTAGTCTCCTCAATGTACAGGTCAGTACACTCCTCACTGCACTGAATGGCATAAACCACATTTTCCAGCTTGTTTCTTGGAGCCTTGTCTTTGGGATGAACCAGTTTTAGTCTTAGGGTCCTCCTAAGTATTTCCGAAACTCCTGAAATGTATGGAATGACGACATTCTCCTGTTGTCCTCCTTCTTTGTGGGCCTCTTTTTGTTTGTTTTTTAAAAAGCCCATCTGGGATAGCCACAGGTCTTGAGAGCTGTCCTAATGTGTCCCTGTTCTCTCATCTTACCTCTGTTGGTGGTGGGAATGGTGTCTGCCCATGACTGTAGGGTTCTGATGACTCCTAATGTGTGCTCCAGTGGGTGGTGTGAGTCAAAACGGAGGTAATGGTCGGTGTGGGTTGGTTTCCTGTACACCTCTATGTTGAGTTGTCTGTCCTCTGAGATGTGAACAGCACAGTCCAGGAATGCAAGACTGTTGTTTTTCACATCTTCTCTGGTGAACTTGATGTTCCTGTCCACTGCGTTGATGTGGTCTGTGAAGTTATCAATTTTTTTTTTTTTTTGGCAATACCAATACGGATATCAATACTTTGTGTGGTTTATTTTTAAACCAATAAAACTCTATGTGTATTATGTATTTTTTTCATAACATTTTAGTCATAAAAAAATACTTTATTTTTATGCAATGTTACCTAAATATTCATATTATCAGTGTACCCTACGGATACTAACGTACCCTAAAAGAGACACTTGAAAGAAGTAAAAGTGACACATACGCTTTTTTTTATTTATTAATTAGTATTAGGAATCTCTATAAAAGTAATCGATACTCAATCGATACCACAGAATCCATCTCTACCTTACAGCCTGTGAACATTTACACACATTTTTTTCTTTACAAACCACAACCCTGGGCTGAAAATCATTCCCCTAGGTCTCCTCCCAGAGAGACGACACCCGAGCACCTCCCAAGGGAGGCGTCCGGGGGGCATGCTATGTAAATGCCCAAGCCACCTCAGCTGACTCCTCTCGATGTGGAGGAGCAGCGGCTCTACTTCGAGCTCCTCTCGTGTGACAGAGCTCCTCACCCTATCTCTAAGGGAGCGCTCTGCCACCCTGCGGAGAAAGCT